ATAAATAAATAAATATTCAATAACCCTGTACTTTATTAATTTCACAATCTAAAAAATAAATTAATATTTTTTTACCCTATTATAAATCATTGTGTGTCGATGCGAAGTACATCCTTGACCGATTGACATTTTTAATTACTTATGCAGTAATTTTAATTACTAGTATTTTTTTAATATGTAGGAGATAGGTACACTTCGCGTCATATAAAACTGGTACACTTATTTTTCCCACTGTAAAACCAACTTTACTTTTGAAAATGACAAACAGTAAGATTTGTCAGGTTCGTCAAAACGCATTGTTACGATGTCGGGTCATTTGAGTAAGTTTGATAAAATGCGAAAATCACAATTAACAGCTTTGCGAAAATGGGACAACAATCAAATTGTAAACAGAAAAAGAGAAACTGGGGGACCATATAACTATAGCACAACAAGATGATACATTAACTAATTATTTACGGCAAGATAGGCAAAAGTTGAAACAAATTTTCATGCTTCAGTAACAATAGTATTAAGAATAATTAGAAAAACTGATTTAAAGAATTTTGTGCAGCCGAACCACCCCAAAAATACGCAAAGTAAATACGCTAATTAAAATTAATTTTTATTATGTTTTAAATGATTCAGTAAAGCTTGGCAGAAGATGAAAAGTTAACAATAAATTTAATTAACTCAGTGCTTAGAAGATTACAAGAAATTATTATTAATGGAATTATGACAATATAGTAATTATTTATTTCATCTGTTTTGAATTGTCAAATGTATTTAAATTTAAAACTTATTCATTTTAAATTACATTAAATTTTTAATTTTTTCATTGCGTTTTATTGCTTTACCAAACTTATTTATATCATTACATCTACTAATATTTTCGTAGTGCTGGCAACGTTGGTCTAGAAATTATAACCTAAAAAGTAGTTTAACTTTGACACAATTTAAAAGATCAATTTACACAGCTTGAAAAGCACGCTTTTTTGTTATAAGAGTTGTACCACTTTTATATGACGCGAAGTGTACTTCATGGAAATTGATTTTAATTTAAAATCTTACAAAGTAAATTGAAAATGATAAATGTCCCTTTATATAATTTAAATTAAATAAGAACCTTACTCTAGTCTCAAATTATACTTCAATTGTTCAAGAAAATAATTATTTTTTTTATTTAAATATTTTTTTATTCATTCAAATTTAGGAACCTAAAATCTTCAACGGTATTTCAACATATTATATAAATGATAACTGTTGCGCTTGTACACCTACCAGGTGGACAGAGAACGTCAAATAATGAGGGGAAAGACTTGAGGAGTACTTAATTATTTAATATAATAGACTAACAAAATAGGTACAATAAAAAAATGATAAAGTCAAAGTTTTGAAAATTATTTAATGAGTAATCGTGCCTCGGAGGTAAACCGCAGTCATTCTAGTCAACTTTTTAGTAGAGCAGACTGAATGTTGTTTGGACACTTTTGTGTTCCATATTTACATATATCAATTATATTTCGACAAGAAATGTAGTTAGCCCCAATTATTGTCACAATATGTATTGTTTACTAATAATCTAAGTATTAAAACTTTTTTTTAATATACGTAACTTGTTAGTTTTGGTAACATATTTCTATGTTCTGATAACAATTTTTCTATGACATAGTGTCATATACCTCCAACATGCCTCTATAAATGGTACGACATAGTTCAGTTTACCTCCTATGCAGGGCCGACTAGACTAATTCCCGGGGCCCGGACTCAAATGGGGGCCCGGCAACTGGATTTTGTTTTGTATGAGAAATTCGACACCAGACGAGAGGGGGAAGTTTTAGACTGAGGACCTTTTTTTGTAGAAAATTGTATCTATGCAGAAGAGGAAAAGTTTTTGCTGGAGGACCTTTTTTTTTGTTTTTAGAAAAAGGAATTCAAGTACAGGAGGAAACATTTTTTTTTAGAAAATTGAATCCAAGTAGAGGAGGAAAAGTTTTAGCTGGAGGATCTTTTTTTTAAAGCAATTCAAGTACAAGAGGAAAAGTTTTTGCTTGGAGACCTTTTTTATAGAAAATTGAATCGAAGAAGAGGAAAAGTTTTTGTTTAAAGAACTGTTTTTTGGTCACGGGGCCCGATCTAGAGAATTGTCCTGGGGCCCGGCTTGGCTCTCGGCGGCCCTGCTCCCATGTACTGATATCGGTAAATATTTAATTAAGTCTTTCCTTTGGATATAATTCAATACCTGTTGCAGTATTAGTCAAAGGAGTAGTTGTTTTCTAAAGCGAAACGGTCACTCTTAATTTATGTGATATTGGCTTTATTTATATTTTTAGTTTACGTCTTGATCACATTTGAGTTTGAAATATTTTTCGTTTTAAATATTTTATTAAGTCTTTATGATATAGATACTTATCTAACATAGACACAACTATTTAGTTTCTAGAATAAAGTTAGCCAAGTGCAATATTTATTTTTTATATCGGCTTTAAATAAACTGTAATGTAAGTTTAACTTCTATTTTTTTGTAAATTCATGCGACATTATCATTCGAGTTAAATCCTCACCGCTACATCACTCTGACACTGTTTATCAGTACCTCTAGCATTTATAGATAGGATATCTTTATATAACTTCAAATTCATTAGGGACAACCTAAAAAATAAAACAATTATTCATACAAAATTGTACTAGGGTCAAGAAATTATCCTTGTTCAAATAAAATAAATAATAAAATTGTCATACTTGTGAAATACCTTTTGGAACAATGTACAATGATTTTTCTTGGCTGGCAACTGCAATCTAAGATCTGTTTAAAGTTAGGTAGTTTATATCATTGCCATAAGAGCCCATTTCTTGATGGAACTTAGTCATCGCTTAATTTTGATGGTTTTTTCTATAAAAGAGTACCGATGACGTTGTATCCATTTACGCAGTTTTTTGTTTTAGAGTTAGATATAAAACATATGACTATTTTGTATAAACTGTAACAAAACAAAATACCTCAAAACTAATAAGAAATGTTTTACCTGGAGCTTGGAGACGTGTTTCGTTAACAATCATTGAATTGACACACATACTTCCGATTTATTAAATTCGCAGTTTTATTTAAACACGATTTTTAAATAAATGCAATTAAAATTGAGGGCCTTTGAATATAAGAGGTATAAGTGATTTTTTTTGGATTGGAGATAATATAGCATATATGAATATTTAAAATTGATGTTTGTTTGGTGCATAACAGATTTAAGTGATATATTGACCTAGATAGATTGATTGAAAACATCAAGATAAAATGATGTAGAGAGGACATAAACACTATTTTGCGATATGACAAAGGAACGCACTTTGAGTAGTATATTGATTAATTTGACGTTAATAATTTTATATTTCAAGATTGACTGTGAAAATGCTTTTATATAATTTAAGTCATGTTATTTAAAAAAACTTGAATTTATTCTTACTAAAACTGACTAACTCCACTTGCTCGAGTTTGACATCTGACGTAAAACTGTGCGGACACTTTTAGTATCGTCATAACATCTCTTTATTTTATATTAATGTATGGAAAATCTGTATGCCCTGCCCTACTTTGTGTCGTCACTGTATACGTTGCGCAAATTAAGATGATTTAGGTGATTTTATATTTGCTTCACTACGTTTCACGGATCTGTTAACGTGTGACATCTTTTTTTAGCTAATTAAGAACACTTCTCACTCCGTCAGGCTTACTTATTAAAGAGCGCTACGAAAACGCGATTAGCCAGAGCGCAGTGGCGTACTCAAAAATAGATATTAAGACGTATGATAACAATAAAATTATTAAAATTGAATATTTTTGTTATTTATTTTAAAATAATGTATTTTTATAAAATGTGGCTGGGTATTTGCTGCACAAATAAACCAGTGGAGAAACCACCCCTGAACTCAGATACTTAAGAAATAAAGGTGTTGCCATGAGCCATATATTATAATGTAATTGTAACATTCTAGACCTGTTCTTCTAAAAATAATAATTTCGTAATATGACAGCTTCATCCTCTTTGAAAATAATAATGTTTTGTAAGAGTTTTTTTTCGAAAATATTCTTATGTATGATACCACGAAATTTGGCCTCCATACATACAAAAACATGTAGTGTTTTATTATTTTTACTATTAATTAATGGTATTGCCATTGGACAAACTGGTGATGTCGTCATATCTCGAATATTACTGACGTAATAAGAAATATACGTAGAAAAATCAGAAAATGCTTATCTATAAAATAAAATCGACCTGTCCGAGTATTTTTTAGTCAAAGTCAGAAATGTTTTGTCAATCATGCATTGTACATTAAATTCAGATAAATTATAAAATAATTTAACAAAATTGGCAGTAGCCTCAACATTTTTAAAATATTCTGATTTTATCTGTCTTTCACAAACAAATAATAAATGTCTGTGAAGCTAATTTCACCCAAATTTTTTCTTTCATTTGCCTCAAATACCTTTTTCTATACAGTAGTTTTATACGCCAATGAAAACACGAAATTGGGCTGTATCGGCCCAAATCGTACTCCGAACAACGCCAATACTTCCAAACGCGCCAATATTAAATCTTTCAATTGAGTCATAGATTGGATGTTATCTTTCTTAAAACTATTCCAGATTCATGTTGCTGACAAAAAATAGCTTTCAAGTAGCATGACTCAACTGAAGGGTACAATAGATCCTTTAGGTGTCATTGTGTCATTGTACACCTCACAACACAACATGACTCGACGGCTCAACTTAACTAGATATGGATATTTTATTTCCTGGCCCATTAACTGACTATAAAAGTCGTCAAAACAATTCTTCCTAATAAATTAGTAAATCACCTTAGCTACTTTACATAAACAATTTTCTTCAATTTTACGCTACAACTACAACACTCCTTCTTCGTTTCCAATACCCGTCTTAAAGTTACTTCAATCCGATGTCCATCCAAATTGTCCCACATACACGCACCACAACAGTTATGATATCGCATCTAGTAGGCTGACCGCCTGTTTTGCCGAATGTTGTTCATTTGTTACGCGAGTTTCACCGCGAATCAGCACGTACTAGAATGCGCGAATTTTCCTTTTAAAATAGCATAAATAATGAAGTTTTTAACATTGTGATAAAGGTGTCAATGGATTATTAAATGTTTTGTTAAAGATGAGAGCGAAAATATTGTGAAGGTTTAAAAAAAGTGAAAAATTTTGAACCCGGTGTTATGTGATTTAGAGGCTTTATTGATTTTACAAATATTTTCGTAATAAAATGATTTAAATTTGTTTAAAATATTACATTCTGATAAATGAATTCTCTATATTTCTTTTTCTGTCAAACCAAATTAAATTTAAAATTAACAATTGATTATTTTTTTGTGAAATGGTTTTGAGAAATCTTCTTAAATACAACCCTACAAATAATATTCATGTAAATCCAATACAAATTCCAATATTCGGTCATAAATTATATTTATGACTGGTAGAAAGTGTGTCTTTTGTAAAACATTGGAACATTAATTGAAGATAAATAGAATTTTTATAGTAATCAAGACTTACAACTTTATGTATTAATAAATTATTAATACATGACTTGAATCGAAGTATTATAATAAGCTTGGGAAATTAAATATTTTGTCAAAAACAACAATAAAATTTTATTGGAAGTATATTATAAGTTTAATTGTGGCAGTTGTCAAAATACATACTGGTCAAACGGGTCGTACTTCATAAAAAAGTGTTTCTAAACAAGATTTTAACGAAAATGTTGAAATTTTAAATTCAAATTTAATAGATTTCAGATAATCTGCTAAATGATCAACAAAACATAAATAAGTTCCCTTACATTCAGAAATTTGATATAATCCTGTGTTAAAACGATCACATAGTAGTATGTGAAGAGTTTTATAGGTTTACTTTGTCCGTTTGTCCTATGTCACGTTTTTCGAAAAATGATATCATCTTGAAATTTTTAGCAAAAATAAAGCTCTGTAAGGGGACAAAGCCTATTGATTTGAGAAAAAATCTGATTAAAATGGGTGGTTGAGATGGGTTGAAATAAAAAATAAAAAATAAATAAATGGAAAAACAAAAAACGATATCAACATGAAATTTTTGGCAAAATTTTCAGTAAAAATCAAGCTCTATAAGAAGATGATTCTAAAACAAATCTGAATAAATTGGGGGGTTAAAGGGGATTAAAATATAAAAAAATCAAAAACAAATAATGATATTAACTTGAAATTTTTCAACAAAAATCAAGCTCAAGGGGAAGAAGCCCTTTGATTTTAAAAAAATCTGATTAAAAATGGTGGGTTTAAAAGGGATTAAAGTTAAAAAAATCATAAATCAAAAACGAAAAGCGATATTAACATGAAATTAGTAAAAATCAGGCTCTATTAGAAGATGAAGCCTATTGATTTTGAAAAAAATTAAATAAAAATGGAAAATTGAGAGGGGTTGAAATATTAAAAAATTCCCAATTCACAAAGGAATAATAATAATATAAATTTTTAATTTTTGGTAAAATCCAAGCTGTATAAGGGGACAAATCCTATTGATTTAAAAAAACTAGAGGACAACATTCAATTCAAGAATTTAAAATGTTATTATGGATAAATATGTAACTAATCTATATTTATAAATTAGTTGATCATAGGAACGGTTTATTCAGTAATATAGAAAATATGCATATTCAACAAGAATATCTTTGCTTTTAATTAGGTATCATTTTCTAATTAAATTGAAAACTGAAATTTTTTTGCATTTAACTTTATTTTTTTGTGCCTGAAACCGATCACTAGGGAATAATATCAAAGCGATTCTGAATACATATGTTATAAAACCAGATAAATAGAACCTGGCAGGTTATCCAGGTTCAAGTATGTTGAACTACCTTCAGAGTAGCGAAAGCAGCACGAATGAAATGCTAATGCAAATAAAAAGTAGGATATTATGAATAGGGCTATGTAGACCTCGACCACGAATAAGGGAAGACGAGATGATCATGAATAAAATGAATTTTAAAATGTAGTTTTCTTTACCTCTAATGGAAGTGCTCTGTGGAGCAGGCTGACTGTCTTCACTTGGAAATTTACCATCGGGGTGGTAGAAGCCCACCAAATCGCCACTTCCAAAAATGGAGCATCTGAAGACATATCTAGGCAACTTTATTAACCTGGTGGACTTTGACCTGAAAGGTTGGCTATCCCTAGAAAGTCCTTAGCGTCAACCAGCAGGTTTCTGATGAGTTTGTCACCTGCAGGGAAGGTAGACAACCCCCAGTGACAAGGTGGAAGATTTTGACAAGTTGTTAGGTTATATGCTCCTCGAGGCTCCACAAAGGGCCTAATAAATGCCATGGCGCAATCCACCCTCCCCACCTTACACATACAGATCTCTAATGGAATGTGATAAAGTTACATTTCAGTAATTATAATTATTTAAGCTAAATCATAATGACACATCACTAATTTCTCATTTTTATCTAATATATTCTGTTGTAAATTAGCTGTTTATTGACAGTTTAAGATTTAACTTGTTTGTTTTTATTTACAAAAACGACGCTGCTAATACTTATTCAGTACTGTGTGTTTTAAAGTTAATCAAATCAATCAAAAATGCAAATTATTGAACAAAATTCAATGGTCTATGGCCCGAAGTCATTGTCCTTTCCAAATTAATTTTTTTATTTTAAATATGTAACAACGCTTTTACAGAATTGAAGCAAACCAAACATAAAATATCCTTAAAAAGGATATAAATAGGGGAAAATAGGAACAATATTTTAAAGATCTCGTATCATTTTTTTTGTAAAATTTTCTCATGAAACTCGTTCCTTACTGTACTATTTTTAATGTACTATATTTTTAATATAAAAATAATGAAGAGAAACAAAAATATCACTTTGAGTTTTTCTTTATTCTTACTAAATAACTTCACTACATTTGAAACAATGGGCGACTTTCTTTTGTTCTCATAAATTAAAAGTTAAAATAAAATTATAAATAATTTACTTATATGTTAATAAATATCGCCCGTAATTAGGCAACATTTCTTCCCCAAAATTACATTCCAACATTCCTGACATTCCAACATTATTTAGGACTCAAGTGGAGTCCCCGAAACCTCATTTGAAAAATCAATTTAGAGCACACTTTTATATAAAATTTTAACTATAAAATAATCCAAAGAATTACTCTCCTTCAATATTGACAAGGTATTTAGGAATACCCTGTATTTAAATTATAGTTAACAAAATAATTTTTTTTTAGATATTTCAAAAATTTTACAGTCTCTTCTAGTTGAACAAAGTCATCTTATGCAAAAAACGGAGCTAGGCCATCAATTTTATCCAAATAACACAAAAAGATTTAAAAACAAAAATAAGCCTACTACGTTAGCTTTGAAATCTCTTGGTCAGGTACTGTAAATATAAGTTTTAATTGTGATCATGAACGTCTCATTGGGGAAGTCCATAGACATCATAAATCACATTTTTTTTAATGAATTAAAATTTGAAATCTTCATAAACATGTTAATAAAATAAGAAACTGTCGAATATATAATATTAAAATGCGCAGCAAAGCCACCCTTTCAATTTTCACTACAGAAATACATGAATTAAATTAAATGGTGAAAATATCACTAATAAGAGTAATACGAATACAAAAATAGGCTTTGTCCATTTATAGAGCTTGATTTTTGTAAAATTTTAATTTTTCGTTTCTAAGTTAGGATTTTTTTATATTTCAACCCCCTCGTCCCCTAATAGAGATTGATTTTTCCTGGAAATTTCAAGTTGATATCATTTTGCGTTTTTGACTTATCGTGCGGATAAAAAACGCGACATCGGACGGACATTTTTAAAAGTTAAATATTAAAAGTTTTGTTTCTCGAAAGTAAACTTATGTTACTATTCATAGACTACTATGTAAAGAGTATAATAAGCATATGATTATTAGAAATATTGATACAATTTATCTTATATAACCAATTCTAGATATTTTATAAATAAAGCTTTTCCTAAATATTAATGTGTTTTCCCATTTGTTGCTCTTTATATTCTGTTATGGGAAATGAAACTAAAAAAATGTTTATGAAATCAATAGAGCTCCGCCAAAAATTTGGACTACTCCGAAATCTACACTAATAGTGATACCTGACATCTATGATGTTTTAACCACCGTTTAATACCCAAAAAATGCAAACAACCAAGTGGTCTCAACTCAAAATCGAAAAAAACATTTCCGAAAACTATCCAGCACGTTCTTTAGACAGTTTAGCAAACTCTTCGAATCCTTCAGAAAGCATTAGCGATGATTCGCACGACTCGGACTCCGGAGCAGATACAAAAAACTCATTTTCCGTTAAATGTGAAGTCTACCAACAACAAAATGGTAAAAATTATCAGAAACCCGAAAAAATATACGGATATGCCAGCAGTAATAAAAGCGAAGAAAATCGATCGGAGCCGAATTCGGGAAGAATGGAGACCATTCCCGAGGAAATAGAAACCAAGGTATCGGTGAAAGCGATTTTAGCCAGGTTTGAAAATTTAAACGGGAAGAGCGATAAGGACTATGTTAGTGTAATCGCTAGTGCAAATAAAATTAAGGAGGCGTCAAGTGGTAGTGAAAGTGTATCAGGAAGTTCTGTGCAGAGTAGTATTAATAGCAACGTTAATAATAGTACCGATAAAGCACCTAACGTGCATAGTGATGATAGCAGTGATGTAGTCGATGAAAACAAACAGGTGAGGATTATTATTTTCGAATGAAAGTACCGATTACTTATCGTTTTATTGAAATTAATTATAGGATTTTGACATCCAAATTGAGTGTGATGTAAAAATGATTAGTACGCTTAGTTACATAATTGTTAAGTAGTAAAAGGACATGTAGTAGTTCAAAGGTACGGTAGGCTCAGTAAGCGCACATGCGCAGGGCTGTGGTTAAACGAGGCAGGTGTAGGGACGCGCTCTCGGACTCCGGCTAGCAAGATGCGAAGACGTATCGATAACGTACCTAAATGTCGGGAAAGCTAAAGTTGTACCAATGATCAATATAAGTGTGATAAACGAACAGTGTTTAATTGAATCTTCCCTAATAACCGAGAACGTAAAAGTGGCGACGAGGATGGGATTCACAGTTAGTAAACAAATTATGTATTAATTTTAATAAGGGGGGTGTTAAGTAGTAAAAGGACATGTAGTAGTTCAAAGGTACGGTAGGCTCAGTAAGCGCACATGCGCAGGGCTGTGGTTAAACGAGGCAGGTGTAGGGACGCGCTCTCGGACTCCGGCTAGCAAGATGCGAAGACGTATCGATAACGTACCTAAATGTCGGGAAAGCTAAAGTTGTACCAATGATCAATATAAGTGTGATAAACGAACAGTGTTTAATTGAATCTTCCCTAATAACCGAGAACGTAAAAATAATGAAATTACGAAGATTGTAATCAATAATGGAAATTATATGGAGATGTAAATAAATCGCATTTTAATGTTTTTTGACGAGGATTATTCAACTTTTTTATGTCTTCCCAAGGATCATTTGCTATTTTTATAAATCTGAGCTTATAAAAATGTTTATCGTATATAAAAAAAATCACATTTATTTTTTGATTTAACATTATAAATCGATTTAAGAGCAAACCGGACCTTTCGTAGAAATCAAAAATATTTAGAGAATTTTCTAATATAAAATTGTATTTATATGCGAGCCACTGGGAATACTTCGAAACGTTGTGTGTCTCGAGAATTTTAAGAGCTTTAAATGTGTGCAACGATAAGGCAGCACTTTCCAGAGACGTTTAAGAAAAAAAGGTGAAAAATTCTCCTATTTAAAAACTACTATCTATTAAAACAAAAAGCAGCAATTTTTTTTAGATTTAATACAGAATATCGCGTAATATTTTTTTAAATTCCTTTTAAAAATTATCAAAATAAATACTTTTCAAAAAGTTACAAAAAATCAAGGTGTGTCTACCCTAAGTTTTGTTATTATTAGTATTTCCTGAAAATTTCACGAAATCGGAGTATAAAAATAAAGGCTCAGAAGGAATTAGAAATTTTCAAGTAGTTCGGTTTGTTCTTAATATCAAAACTAAAGTGCGAAATTGAGCTCCATTGACCTCCATACAATGATAGAGTAGTGCTTAATACGCTTGCCTGACATTCGAATACCCCCACAAAAGCAATCTATAGTAGTCAGATCAGGTAACTTAGATGACTTCTATATCACCGTATCTCTTCTACCGATCCAATGGTAGGAAAAAAAAATAAGAAATTGCAGGATAGTGACAGCAAAATAGGGCTGCTCCACATTGTTTGTGCAATTCCCGTTTTCATTAAACGTTTCAGGTAGGGCATAGTATATGAATAATAGTTTTCTCTTTCTCTTTATATTTTCGATTTAGGGATTCTTTAAGTAATCCTAAGGGAGTTAGGTGTCTACTAAGATAGATGTGTTTAATAAGTTCCAACCAGAAAATATTTACCTTTTCCTTCAGCAACCCTTTCTGACTAGGTCGTCTACTTTCTCATATCCTGGCACCCATTCAAGGGTTACCTCATTATATTCTGTCAGTATAGAAGTTGATGACAGTTCAATATGAATTGTACTTCTATCCCTTGCGGTGCTTTAAGCACTGTCTGGCTGTTTGTCTTAAAAAAATACTCTTTTATAAATAAATTCTTTATTGTTCAACAGAGAATGTCCATTTACAAGACAATATAAATTTGAATACATAAATGAATGATACAGTAACACTTCAAATAACAATTGAGCAAAATTATTATGAAGTTACAAAAATGCATATATAGAAGAAGAAAACATAAACATTATTCAGTTCGTTTTTAAAATATAGGTGACCCAAAAAAGAAGAAGAAGCATTATTTCGTTCATATTAGCAACAACTAAAAAAAACCTACATATCAAAATTAAGGGTTATTGTAAAAGTATATTTAAAAAAAAATATTGAGCGGATTTATCTAAAATTAGTGTTGCTGAATTATGGGTAATATATCGCATAAGTTTGTCACATGATTAAAGTTATTACTCATTCTGTGAAGTGGTGAGTTAAAAAGAATATTAGCTCTCGCATTATCAGAGTAGAACGTAGTAAATTTTCTATAATTAAATCTAGGAATATGAAAATCCACTTTGATAAGGAAGATTTGGGGAATCAATGAAATTTTGTATTAATTTATAGAGGAACGACAACCCTACATGTTTTTGCTAGTAGTAAAAATTAGACATGGAAACGATGTATCAAAATAGAATGGTCAATACCACTTGCAGAATAAATTCCATCAATAAAAAAATTAAGAAACTTACGTTGAACTGCTTCCAATGAATTTATATGCACTTGAAACTGTGTGTCCCAAGCAATCGATGCGTATTCAAGTTTCAATATTATAAGCGTTAATAATAGCGTTTTAAGAGCAATTTCTTATGAAAAAGTTTTAAAATGTCTTATGATAAATCCTAAACATTTAGAAGACTATATTATTAATTAATTATTAATTTGTAAAAGGATAATTTCCTGACCGTAGTAAAATTTTATATAAATAAAAAGTTCAATGGTTTATTCAGTAGTTTTTGTTTTTATAATATATCTTTTATTTTAAAATGTTTGTAATCGTCCCCATATTTTATTAAATATTGACTGGCACCAGAAGAAGGAACTGTGTTTCCGAAACATATGTAGTGCCTGTACTTAAATTTTATAAAAACAATAAAAACGGCTGAACAAACCATTAAACTTTTTATTTATATAAAAAAAATATATTAATAATATGATCTACAAATTGCAAACCAGAATAAAATGTATTTTTTTAATTTTATTTTTACACCTTTCGCACTCCCCGTGTTATCATTCTAATCCGTGTAGCGTGGCGGCATTGCAGACTGCAGACTTGGAGGTTCTACTAGTTTCGAATTCACTCACTCATCCACCGTTATTAATTACACGACGACGATAGTGGAACCATTGCCTATCAGGTACCTGAACTGACCCTTTTAATCCCCTAACTCGGGTAAGCCTCGTAAGTGTGTGCGTTCTTACTAATGAGAGTAGATCGAATTCGGCGTGTTATTTTATGTTAAGAAAATAGTGTTTCTGTGTTATTGAACAGAATTAAAATGAGTTCAGGTTCCAGTTCAAGAAGAAGTTGTGTAAATCAACCTGATTTGTTTTGCTATATATGCGGAGAACAAAACAGAAAAACTATTACTGACTTTGTAAAGCGAGCGTATCTTGGATATTTTGAAGTTAACCTTGGTGATCAGGACAAAAAGTGGGCCCTGCATCTCGTATGTAAAACTTGTACAGAGCATTTACGGCAGTAGACTACCGGGAAAAGAAAATGTCTAAAATTCGGAGTACCAATGGTTTGGAGAGAACCAAAAAACCACTTCAATGATTGTTATTTCTGTTTATTAAATACTAAAGGAATCAATCGAAATAACCGCAGTAAGTGGACTTATCTCAATGTAGACTCGACAATACGCCCTATCCCGCACTCAGATGAAATACCGATTCCAACATTTCATCAGCTACCAGATATCTCTGATGACGAATATTTTCCCTCTGATCGCTGTTCTGATGCTAATGAAACTAACAGTGACTATGAGGAGACGTCATCAGTTCCTCAACGCTTCAATCAAAATGAATTAAATCTCACCAGGGATCTCAGTTTATCGAAAAAAGCTTCTGAAGTACTGGCTTCTAGGTCAAACGACAAAAATTTATTGGAACAAAGAACCAAAATTTCCTTTTACCGTACAGAAGAAAAGTTCTGCTACCAATCTTTTCTCAAGAAGACAATCTTGTATTTTGTCACGAAATTAATGGACTTATACAAGAAATGGGACTTTCTGAATATATTCCAGATGATTGGCGCCTATTTATTGACAGTTCAAAGCAAAGTTTAAAATGTGTCCTTCTACTTTATGGGAATAAATATGGTTCAATACCACTAGCTCACTCAACGAAACTGAAAGAAGCATATAATACCGTAGCTTTGGTCTTGCAGAAGATAAAGTATCACGAACATCAATGGATGATTTGTGTAGACTTAAAAATGGTAAACTTTCTTCTTGGGCAGCAAAGTGGTTACACGAAATATCCGTGTTTCTTTTGCCTCTGGGATAGTAGGGACAAAACACACCACTGGGTTAGAAAAGGTTGGCCTCAAAGAGAAAACATGGACGTTGGGGAAAATAATGTCATTCACGACGCTGTGGTTGAGAGAGAAAAGATTATACTTCCTCCGTTACATATAAAGTTGGGATTAATGAAGCAATTTGTAAAGGCTCTTGATAAGAATGGCTCATGTTTGCATATATAGGGGTAAAAATGCATCGGTTGAGCACAGAAAAACTCAAAGCAGGGATATTTGACGGCCCACAAATAAGACAATTAATTAAGGATCCTGCCTTCATAAATTCAATGAATCAAGATGAACGAAAAGCTTGCACATCATTTGTTGCAGATGTAGAAAATTTTCTAGGTAAACATAAAGCTCAAAACTATGTTGAAATGGTTAACAAGATGCTTAATAGTTTCAAATCCTTAGGGTGCAATATGAGTATTAAAATACACTATTTACACAACCATTTAGACCGTTTTCCAGAAAATTTAGGAGACATGAGTGAGGAACAAGGTGAAAGATTTCACCAAGATATTAAAGTTATGGAGGACCGCTACCAAGGAAGATGGGACATGCACATGATGGCAGATTACTAAACGCTAGTCGGCTAAGTCCCATGGAGACAGGGATCATGGTAAAACGTTACAAATTTAAGTTTATTCAAGTCTGTTTAATGAATTTAACAATGTAATTAAAAAGTCACATTGGAGTAAATGTTCAAATCATCGGCAA